CAATTCTACCCGTGGTATACGCTCAGTATATCACGGCATATCAGATTGCTTGATTTGACTTGTCCGTTTTATAAGTTGGTGATAAATCACTGGCAGAGGATTTATTTGTCTGCGCTCAACCCTATTTGTTTCAATTAGCCTCGACATTTGTAAACACTATTGAATGTGCAAACTAACTATTTAGGAAAGAGGGCATGACAAGAATCAGTGATTACTTTTAAATACTACGATAATATGTTTTTAATGCTTTGAAATGACTTGTCCTATACTTAATTAATAACATATGCAAGAAAACAAAGTAAATCGATCAAATATAGAGATACAGTATATGTAATGCCTTTGTGCTTAAATGCAAGTGTGTATGTTTAAATGACCTATGCAAATTACAATGACATCAAAAGCAGGGAGGATCAACTCATGTCAATTGGATCAAACGCTTCTGATCCTGACCTTCACACACACAACCCTTGAATGTGAAAGGATTACAGTTCTTGTTTTAATCCTTACTTCTGTTCACATTACTCCCAACACACACACACACACACACACACACACACACACACACACACACACACACACACACACACACACACACACACACACACACACACACACACACACACACACACACACACACACACACACACACACACACCACACACACACACACACACACACACACACACACACCACACACACACACACACACACACACACACACACACACACACCACACACACAACACACACACCACACACACACACACACACCCACACACACACCACACACACACACTCAAATTCATCATATTTATATCCCTCTCAGGCCTATAAGTGTTATGTAACCACTATTATTTGCATATAATGTATGTAAGGTCCGGAGGAAGCATTAGTATGCCAAATTACCATGAAATTGGCTATTTTGCACTTTTGGAGGTGTCAGTTCCATTGTTGTGTTTCAACAGAAAACAATACAATTATTTTAGTTCTTCCTCCTAAAATACTATGGCTTGTGTGCATAGAGGCCCTCTTGTGCTATACAGTGCTTAAACACGTCTTGGTTGTTCTGAAAGGATATAAAAGGGACTTAATATCAAAATCCTGATGTGTTTTTATATCACACTTTAGTTTATTAATATGTACATATGCGACCAGAGCCAGTTTCTCCCTACAAATGAGCTCAATTATTGTATTAGCCGTTGTAGAATTGACCTTTAAAAACACGTAGCTTTATTTGACGGCCAATGGAACACCTCTTTGCACCCATCTCTGCAGCTTGTTTCCCCCCCCCTGTGACTGCTTTCTCTTGTGTAATCGCAGGAAAACAGAGAGTGGAAGGAGACTGGGGGGGGGGGGGGGGGGGGGGGAGAAAACAGAGAAAAGTAATTAAAAGAGAGTGCTGGGGAAAGAGGAATGTGCTGGCCTGTGACCGAAAGATGCAGCTGCATTGAACCGTATACAGTGGAGGGATTAACAGGGCTCTAATGCTCCGAGGATGCTGGAAAATGCCTGTTTGTGTATATAAGCGTAAGCATCTGCATGTGCATCCACAACAATATCTTGTCATTTATTTAAGAATGTGCGGATGTGACTGCTTGCAGGTGCATTTAGGGGAAGATGGACAGGAAAAGAACAGAGGAATTTGGCGAAAGGAAAGGATGGTTTTTCTTCATGAGCTGAGGGATAGAATGAGAAATAGGGAGACAGGTAAACTGCAGAAGGACTTATTTTAATTGAAACAAACAATTTACATTCGTAAAATCTGCAGTTATAGGCTGATACGGTTATTACATGGGTTATAATAATAATAATAATAATAAATTACATTTATATAGCGCTTTTCCTGATGCTCAAAGCGCTTGTTATGAGTTTGATAACTTTCTAACAAACGAATAGGAGAAAATATATAGTTATTTGTAACTTTAAATGTTGAATCATTGCAGTTATTTTTTGTAATTCATTACGTTTGCAGTTAGAAATGTTTGTCTCACTAATTAACTAAACACCAGCAAGATTTGTTTTAAACATTTAAATTCCTAAAATATTCTCAAAAATATCATTTATGTTACTCATTAGCATCGGTTGATGTAACATAAAACACACCTTATAAGGAAGCATTACCAAAGTTAACTAATGCAAAGTTGTGGACATAAGAGTAATAATGTATCCCTTTTATAATTGATGTATCATTGTCATCTAATTGTATTGCTGAGTCATGGTGACACTTTGTTGCTTCAAAAACAACAGCAGATTCAAAAGACGCACCAAACTCATCAATTGAATGCGATACTGACCCCTCCAGCAATTAGATGAATTCATTATTATGTTAAATAAACAAGAAATAGCACAACAAAAGAATGCTTTATACATGAGGGAAAATGTCTAGACACTTTGTGGCAGGCTTTTTCACATCTTAAAAGACGATAAGCTCTGTCTTACTATCCTAAGGGAGTGCATGTACGTAGACACGTTGTGCCTCTCCACCCCTGTTCCTTTCTTCTTACTTGCTACCCTTTTCCCTCAACCTATCCTAAGGGAGTGCATGTACGTAGACACGTTAGTTTAGCTGCTATAGGCTTGGACTGTTGGGGGGGGACCTTACTTCTTCCTTCTGTCTGTCTGTACTCTCATGTTCCGAATAACCCAGCTTCCCCCACATTTCTTTTTGGTGTCTATCTACGCCGGGATCCTGAGTCGTGGCTGAACTATTACAGACACATGCATTTCCAAACATTTGGACTACCTACGCTGTAAAATGTATTATCTCTTCGATTTACACACGGCATCTATTGCACGTCTGTCCGTCCTGGGAGAGGGATCCCTCCTCTGTTGCTCTCCCTGAGGTTTCTCCCATGTTCCCCTTTAAACTGTGGGTTTTCTCTGGAAGTTTTTCCTTGTACGATGTGAGGGTCTAAGGACAGAGGGTGTCGTATTGTCATACTGATATTCTGTACACACTGTGAAGTCCACTGAGACAAAAGTAACATTTAAAACAATAAGCACTGAAATAGTAAAGAATAAGGCCCATTTTCACTTACAAAATGTATTACATTAATCATATCAATCTTTACAATCATCTAATACATGTCTCAGATTATTTAAATGTTAAGCTCAGTGACTAAATACAGTATGCCTTGACTATGTGACAATGAAAGCATGTTCATTTTTCTTAGTTTCCGGTTAGTTACCATGCTAACGTTTGCATATGAATACAGTTAAGACTGACGTTGCAGGTGTTTGTTCATCATTAAAAGTATTAGATAAACAGCATTTCCAATACAATTCATATGGGGAATATGAATGTCTGTAGTATATTTGCTGGCAATCCTAAGTAATAATATTTGCCTAAATATCTCGATAAAAGCCCAAATGTCAACCTTATGGTTGTAGGAAAAGCAAGGGGTTCACCTATGTAAGTAGCATTGATCCCCTGGGGACTTTGAATGCCTGTACAAAATGGCATGGCATTCCATAATAGACATGTAAATACATTTCAGTCAGGCCTTGAGTGGTGAACCATCAGACATTGCCATCACTTTTCTCTTGGCCTGTGGACCTAACTTTCCACCAAAACATGCTTTTGAAAAATCCTTCAAAACTAACAGACAACAAGAAGGGCTGAAAACATATCCTACCTAGGCAGAGGTTAAAATAACAAATATTTCAAATGAAACAGAAACTTCCATTGCATCATCCTCTCACCTCATCAACATTCCCACCACCCATCCCACTTGTTCTTGGGGTGAGGCAGTTTATTTGCTCTGTTTTGCTCCTGCTCGGTCTCTTCGCTACCCTCACACATTCTGTCTCTTTTCTCCCACCTCCCACCGTCCCCCGTCCTTTCTCCCATTTCTCCTCTCGGTGATAAGATAGACTATACTGTTCGGCTTGTGCCTCGACCTGCTGAATTTCAAATAGGGCCCTTCAACAAAAACCCAGAGCCCCGGTGTCCCCTGTCTGCTCTCCCAGAATATTAACTAGTGCTGCAGCACCGCTAACAACTCTGCACCCTAAAGCCCCAGCAAAGCTTTGCAGATCTGTTTGTTGCATTGAGGAGATGTAATGAGGGGTTGAGTGAGGGTCGTCAGTCTTAGATCACAAGTTAAAATACCTTTGGTTGAACATGCACACATAACCTTCTCATCACAGGGTATATGGGTCTGAGTTACCTACGCCAAAGACGTTATGTTTGGGTTTATCTGTCAGCAGGATTACGAAAAATAGTGTCCCAATTAAACCGGCCAAGGAAAACTATCTTAAATGTTGAAGCCGATGTGAATTAGAGTGCAAATACATAAACAATCTTTTGCTCATGGAAAAGGCCTTGGTGGAAGTCTGAAGTAAATACATGCTGTCTTATTTTAGACTAGAAAGTGATCACTTTATTAAGATTTAATCTGTTCAGGTAACAGCTATAATGGTTCCCACTGGTCCAGTTACCAAATAAATGGAAACATTTTCCTACCAACATCAGGTTACATCTCACATTTAGACCAACTTAACACCCATTCAGTAATCCAATCTGTTTGACAGATTCATGACATTTTTGCTTTAAAAGCCTCTTTAATTTAGATGTCCAACTTGCAATTAAGGCCTTATAATTAACATAAAAAACAACAACATTAATAGCCATCCATCCATTCGTCCATCGTCAACCACTTATCCAGAGTCAGGTCGCGGGGGAAGCAGTTACAGCCGGGGCCCCAAACTTCCATTACCCTGGCCACATCAAGCAGCTCTGACTGGGGGATCGCACGGCTGGAGCGTGGAGAGATAAACCCCCCACCTGGTCCTGGGTCTGCCCCTCGGTAGTGATATGTTGATCAGCCATGCAACATGTAAGTACCAAAGGGAGTATACATGTAGGAGGACTACGCATCATAATCATGCCACCTGCTTGAACACGGCTGCCCTGACTGAACTGGACTCTTTAAAGAAAGTAGAAATGATAGTTGGGACTGGGAGACAAGAGTAAAACAAGTCCAAAACAAAGCTCATTACCTTGTTGATCCAGGTCTCAAATGCAGGACCTTCAGTCGTCAGGAACAAATCTGCAGTGTGACAGAGAAAGAGAGGGAGGGAGCAAGTTATTAAGTGATACACCGGTTCATCTGGCAATCATAAACACACATGCAGCGGGGACTATTGATCTGGAGTGAAGAAGATGCTGTAGATTAGAGCGAATGACAGCATTGAAAATGTACACTGCACTCTGGCTGTGAAGCTTTGTAACTTTGTAATTGATTATGAAAAGAGGAACAACAGATCAATATAAAGTCAGTAATTGCTTGGAATGCTAATGTGGCCTTGTCTACACTGGAGAAGTAACCTTTAATGCAGACTATAATCAAGGCTTAGAAAAGCAGTGATCACTTTAAATGGCAAGAAATGGTTTTGGTCAAATGGAGAAAAAAAGGGTTCTCAGCACATCTTCCACTGCTACTGACATAAACCAAGAGCTGTCAACTCATCATGTATCATTTATAATATCAGCACTATTCAAACACCATGCTTATGATTAACAAAATGAAGAAAAGAATGACATCGATCCGAAATATTCAACATTTCAAAGCTTGGTTTAGGACACACTTGGATATTGTTGGGGACTAATTTGCCCTGCATGTCCTCCTCCTTCGCCCTCTGACGCAGCTAACCAGCCGTTATCTCCCTATCTAGGGGCTGCCCTAGCATATTGTTGTTGTTACCAGTTTGTGACCGGGCACAGTTATTGTTGTGGGACACCTGGAACACATCCTTCTCGGGGTGCAGATGACCCCGAGCCATAAGCGACAACAACTGTGATTCAGTGTCCTCAGCTGTTTAGTCTATCTATTGAAGAATGTAGATTATTACACTCTGAACTAAAACCTGGAGCTACAGGAGGGCTCTTCAGAATTGATTGTGGCATCTCAACCGTGTGGTCAGATCGTGGCCCGTGACACGTCTTGTGAATTCTCCGGCCGAAGCTCCAAATAAACCGTCAGTGTTGGCCATCAAAGCTCCAGCTCTCCTCGTGTCTCTCTGAGTCCTGACACTCCATTGCTACAGAAGTTTGCCCCACAGATATGTTCTGACAATTCTCTTCTACTGTGGCACTGACTGTTTAAAATACATGTCGGATTCGTAAAGCCCAGACATGAATTTATAAAACAGTGGTGAAGGGGGGATCTCCCGCTGAAGGCAACAGGAATTCGCTCAGCCGTGTGGAGGCTTCACCCCCGGTAATGCCAGCAGCCCGCTCTTTTGGAATCCTTTAACAGGCGCTTGTACTCACATTTCTCGCTCTTAAAGCTTAGGCTTATGCTGTTTTTGTGTGAGGACGTTTACTTTCATGGCTGCGCTCTTTCGGACTGCGGCTCTGCCCCAATAATTGGACATGAAATAAATATTGGCATTGATCTTCCTAAGGGCCCTATGTTGCCGTGCTCTGCATGGGAAAATATGAATGATGAAGAAATGGGGGGGAATGAAGGGTGTGTGTGGATAGATGGTCATGTGGAGATCCTGTATATCACTGGTGGTAGAACTGAAGTGGCCACTGCGGCTGATAACAAGTTCAGAATGACTCCTTAACAAAGTGAAAAATAAAAAGTATAATAGATGAAAACTTTCAGTAAATGACTCGCTATCTCTTTGGCTTCATTCCAAACACTATTAACTGAAAGTGTTCGTCTTTGAGAAGACCGATGTGAGTCAACCTTGTCCTTCCATTTTCTCCTGATAAACAACAGTTCCATAAGAAATATTGTGTGATGCCTCACAATAAAAAAATATATAACCAGATACACATGACATGTTATTACATGTGTAGTTTCTTTGCCAACTGTTAGGAACTCAAAAAGTTATAAACTCTTGAAATCATTGTATTCCCAATTTGAGACCCGCCTTTGTATTTACTCACAGGAAATCTTGAAGGTTTTAAATAAGTGCAACGTTAGCACATTAATGTTTGCAACTACTCTGGAAACTCTGGCTTTACATAATAATGAAAATAATCCCATTACCAAGTTTGACCCGATAGTAATGCAGATGGTCATCATGAATTGCATGGCGGTGTAAAGGCAAACAAAGTGAAGGGATCAGCACAGGAGACAAGCATTGCATTGACTGAGACCACTGGACATCAGTAAGAACCATCACTGCCTTGATGTAATGGCACCCGTTATTGAAGTTGCACAGGAGTGGAAGAAGCTGGAGAGGGGACTGTAGTAACAGATAGTGATCGCAGTATGATAACGGCACAGAGAATTTGCCCTGTGTTGCTCACATTATACAGAGGGCAACCACAGCGGATTAATCATGATTAATTACACATTAACATTAATAAATGTTTCAAGCAATTGACACAACTATTCTTAATGAATACTATCGACAGATGTCTGGCATTTTATGCAGCGGAATGCCGTCATTTTCTGTGTTAGAAAAACCACCAACGCTAACCTGCCCACTTACATCTGGAAGTAACACACACAGCCCTCTTAAATTATATTTAAGACTCAAATGCAGAAGGAGGTAAAATAGTCCAACTTTTGAAGTTGAAAACTTTGTGGACCTCCAGACATGTAGCCCACACATGCTCAAAAATGCAAAGAAGATAACAAGTGCATGCATGTGTTATGCATATGTGCCCACATACACAACACTTTACATGATAGGCTAAGTAATTTGCACACTGTGTAAGTGCACACCCGTGTCACTGTGTTTGAAGCCACCGGGTGGTGTGTTGATGAGCTCAGTTAATCAGCCAATCAGGCCCCTTAGACAGAATCCAGCCGTGATTGGCTGATTAGGTGCGATGGTGGTGAGAGGCATGGGGTAGACAGAGAGAGATACAGAGAGATCTTCATCTTGTAAACACTTAACGCTCTCGCTGCGGGGGCTCTACCTCACATCTTGCCTTCTTTTTAACCATGTTCCGTACCGCCAAAATCTTTTTTTCGTGTCTGATTTATCTTCATCAAGTCTAGATGCCAATCCAGTAGTAAACTTTCCTTTGATTCTCCCCACTGTCAGGCAGTGCATCGGGTAGTAAACTGATTTAATATCAGCCTTGGGCATAACAATAAAGTGCAAGCTGCTCTCCTTGGACACTGCAGCACACACGCCCCTGCTCTCTGATCTGTCCTAAAATGCTTCCCCTTTTAGGACAGTGTCAAGGGGAATATTCACTCAGTCAATTCCCTTTGGTAAACGGAGCTTTAAGGTAATCTTAATGGGATCCTTGAGACATTATCCTCCTTCAGTGCATTGTCCTTCTACACGCTCCCCTCCCTTCCTCTCGGTGCCTGGCAGAACGTGTTCTACAACAGCCTCATAAAGAGCTGCTAGCTAGCAATATAAACCTAACTGCTGCCACCATAACTCTCTTTAACACAGTTTGACGGTTTCAGAGACTTTAATCAGGCTGCCAAGGACCTTTTTGGGACTCATTTAAGTAAAAGAGATATTTTAAAAAAGAGTACAAGAACAAAATAAGATCAGAAGAGAAACAAACGGTGGTGGCGAAGTCGATAGGGAGTTGGCTTGGTAACTGGAAGGTCACCAGTTCAAGTCCCCGAAAGAACAAGTGCTACCGAGGTGTCCCTGAGCAAGGCACCGTTCCCCACACTGCTCCCCGGGCGCCGTTCAAAATGGCAGCACACTGCTCCCAACACAGGATGGGTCAAATGCAGAGAAACAATTTCCCCACGGGGATTAATAAAGTATATCATCATCATCACAACAGACAGACGCTAAGTGAAAGTCTTCTGTTAAATTGAATTGTCTGTCTGCTTTGCCGCAGCTCCCCCGCGTTTCATTTCTGAAACTCAGTTTGTGTTTCTTTGTGTGCTTTGCTGAGAAATGCTCACCACTAGAATATTATTTAGTATGTCTTTGCTATTGTTTCTGGTCTATTTGCATCCAGAAAATCCTCACGTAAACATATATACACATATTCAGTTATTTTCCACTGTTCTTAATACTGGGAGGGATCAAGCCTCACCCTTATCAAACCTAAATATTTACCATTTAAGTTCAACAAGTCAGTCTTTCGAATAATGTATGAACTCTTTAGGTTTATGGTTTACAGGTTTATCATCAACTTTGTTATTGAGAAATCTTGCCTTTTTGTCAGTTTGGCAAGGTGGGTTTTATCTCCATAATACCCCTGGGTTACTGTTAAGGAAACAACGTTGGTTAAAGATTTAAAAGAGATGTTTTTTGAAAATCCAGAAAGCTTCATGCAATTGGAAGAAAAGAAAAACGATTGAATATATCCAAATCTGACCCAGCATCTGACATTTAACCGATTAAAAATGGTTGAATGCTTTGTCAGGTTTGTATAAAGCATCATCTTTAGGGGTCACCACTGGGGGCACGGAGATGGAGCCTGCTGGCACCGACTGAACGGGATGTGGCTATGATGGTGTTACTGCTGCAGGTGGTTGGAGCCTGAATTAAAGGGTAGTTCAATCGTTTCATGCATCAACAGGCACTTGGGAGCATTGCTGCATATGTGGACCATATGTTGAAAGCTTTTTGTCCCAACAGGGGGAGCTGCACTAGGTTTGATAATTTGCCTCAAGTTATGTCAGTTGAGTTGAAGGCGTTAAGTCTCAAAAAGGTTTTAATAAAAGCCGGCACGGACTTAGAGTGAGGTTATCACAACTGCAATTTATGTTTCAGGCTACTAGCATTGTCAACACAAGATATCTGCAGTGCCATTACCAACACATCGATCCATCTGATGGCAGCAGTGTTGCAATGTGGTTAATGTAGGCACAAAGAAAAGGAGACAATATCTCTTGCTCTCTTTCTTTCTTTTAAACAGTCCGTTTCGAGTCGAACAACATAGGAGTGTTATACTACATTGATATAGTACTGTTTTAAGGCTCACCATTAGAGGCAGCTGCACATTGCCTCAGGACGCAACATCTGGATCGTTGTGGACACATAACTGAAGCAGCTTATTGGACATTACTAGAGGTTCAGGACGAGAAAAACCTACATACTGATCACCTATCACACGTTGGGACCACATTGTGAGGTGAGACTGCTGACATCAAACAAC